AAAGATGGATTGTATTTTTTGTGTTCAAGCTGCCTGAGAAATGCCAATATAGTCAATAAAGGTTCAGTGTGTTGTTATCATCCTAGTGGTAGTAATAATAATTCCTCTATTGAGAATAGGGAATACATTTCTACTGTTACTGATTCTTGTCATGATTGTAAGAAATTCGCTACTGATATGGATGTTCCTCATACTGTTCATAGTCCTCTTGTTTGTACTTCTACTTTCAACAATAATGAGAATGTCCAGTTTAATAATCATTCTTGTAAGATTACAAAGAACAATGTAGACTTATTGTGGCATAACAGACTTGGCCATGTGCCTTTTGCTAAAATGAGGAATATTTCCACCCTACCAACCATTCTTTCACAAAAACAGCCCTTTATGTGCAGCATATGCCCTATGGCAAGACAAGAAAGATTGCCTTTCAGCCAAAGTACTAGCCAAACCAAGTCCATATTTGAATTGCTTCACATTGACCTATGGACCCTTATCATGTTTCCACCTATGACAATTACAAATACTTTCTTACCCTGGTGGAAGATTATGGTAGATCCACTTGGACCCATCTTCTAAGTACCAAAAGCAATGTTTTGCATGTGTTGAAAGCCTTCATAACAATAGTAGAAACCCAATTCAAAACCACCATTAAAAGCATTAGGCCTGATAATGGACTGGAGTTCATCAGTAATGAGCAATCCAATTCTTCATGAACAAGGGTATAATTAATCAGAAAAGTTGTTCATACACCCCACAACAAAACAGTGTGGTAGAAAGAAAACATAAATACCTATTAGCAATAGCAACAGCCCTTCTTTCCCAATCTAAACTACCTTTGAAATATTGGGGGTGTGTGTGTTGGCAGCTACTCACATTATAAATAGACTACCCTCAACACACTTCAAGAACAAATGTCCTTAGGAGTTGCTATTTAATAAGAAGCCAAATTACACTCAACTCAGATCTTTTGGTTGCCTATGTTACCCCACTGTGCCTAAAATATTAAGAGATAAACTTGAGCCCAAAACCACTCCTCATATATTTGTGGGATATCCCTTTGGCACAAAAGGATACAAGGTGATGAGTCTTGTCACAAGAAGAATACATGTTTCCAGAGAAGTGGTCTTTCATGAGGACATCTTCCTTTTTACTTTGTCTGCTGAAAAATGCACTTTTCCTTCTATTTTGAAGTTTATTGAGTCTATGTTATCTAGTCCTAATCCTAGTGGTTATACTGAGCAAAGGTCTTATGACAATAATGTAAATGATATAGGGTGTGAATTTGATTTAAACACTAACCTTTCACCCATCAGGGACCATCATCAACCACTACCTCCTGAACATCCCATTGATCATTCACCACCTCCATTACATGTCCACTCATCACCTTATCAAATTGTTGCTCCTATAATAAATCAGAGAAGATATAACAGGGAAACAAAATCCCTCATCACTTAAAAGACTACATTGTTTCTATGCCAACTCTAAAGAATCCAAATCCTGTTACAAATCTTTCCCTCACTGCCTTATTCACCAAACACCATCACATACCTCCTGATGTCATTGCATCCTACAGTCAAATGCTTGTTGAAAATGTTTGTCATGATAGTGAACCATCATCATATGAGGAGGCATCCTTCAATCCTTCTTGGCAAAAGGCCATGACACAGGAGTTTGAGGCACTTTATGCTAACAATACTTGGGATCTTGTTGAATTACCAGTAGGCAAGCAAGCAATTGGATGTAAGTGGGTGTATAAAGTCAAACATAGAGCAGATGGGAGCATTGAAAGATTTAAAGCTAGATTGATTGTGAAAGGGTACACACAACAAGCTGGGATAGATTATACAGAGACCTACTCACCTATAGTCAAGATGACTATTGTCAGAACTTTAATAGCTTGTGTTGTGAAGAAGGGTTGGAATATGTTCCAACTTGATGAAAATAATGCATTCCTTCATGGTGATCTTCATGAGAAAGTGTATATGAAAGTTCCGCCAGGTCTGGAAGTACATAATACAAGGTTGGTATGGAAGCTTAACAAGTCTCTTTATGGACTTAAACAAGCCAGTAGACAGTGGTATGCCAAATTGACGGAAGCCTTGGCCCTTAGGGGATATACACATTCACATTATGATTACTCATTGTTTTCCAAGAAATCAGGTCCTTTGGTGGTATTTGTTGTTGTTTATGTAGATGATGTTATCTTAACTGGCACAGATACTGATGAAATCACACAACTCAAGACTTATTTGGACTACACATTCAAAATTAAAGACCTTGGCAAACTTCATTATTTTCTAGGCCTTGAGATACTTGATACAGCTAGAGGGGTACTCATCTCTCAGAGGAAATTTGTTTTAGACCTGTTAAAAGAATATGATTGTTTCAATTATGCTCCCATGACTTCACCTCTTGATCCCACTGTCAAACTAAGAGCCAAAGAGGGAACCCCACTTCCTGATCCCACTCACTATAGGAAGCTACTTGGAAAACTAAACTTTCTCACCAACACTAGACTTGACATAGCCTTCAGTGTCCAACAGTTAAGCCAATTTATGCAAGATCCCAGAGACACTTATCTCAAGGCAGCCTTTCATCTTCTCAGGTATTTGAAGCAGGATCCTACTCTAGGAGTTCATCTATCTAATGATCTTGATTGCACTGTCCAAGCTTTCTGTGATTCAGACTAGGCCTCCTGTCCAGACTCAAGAAAATCAGTTAGTGGATATTTAATTTTACTTGGGAACAACCCTATTAGTTGGAAATCCAAGAAGCATGAAACTATTTATTTGTCTTCAGCTGAGGCAGAGTATAGGTCACTAAGGAAGGTAGTTGGAGAATTGACTTGGCTGAACAGGTTGGTCAATGAATTGACCATTTTTTATCCATTTCCTATTGATGTATATTGTGATAGTTAGTCTGCCATACACACAGCTCATAATCTTGTATTCCATGAGAGAACTAAACACATTGAGGTGGATTGTCACTTTGTGAGAAGCAAGCTTCAGGAGGGGCTCATTTCCTTGCACCATGTTCCCACTACTGATCAGTTAACTGATATACTTACTAAAGCTCTAACAAGTGTGAAGCATTCAACTATTTTGGACAAGTTGGCTGCGAGATTATCACCACCAACTTGAGGAGGGGTATTGAGATCAAGATCAAGTTTTCATAATATATTTGTAATTAGCAGTAAGGAATTGTAATTAGTTAACTAGTTTGTTATACGTATTAGAGTTAATTAGCTGTCAGAGTTAGTTAGCTAGTCTAATCAGTTAGTTAGATAGTATAATGTCTAGAATGTTCCATTAGTTAGAATACAGTTTTACATACTTGTTTACATGTATAAATACTCAGTCATTAATCAAAGAAAGGTGCGATTTCTCTTTCTCTCAAATTACAGTTCTTCACAAAATGCTCTCAGTCAGTCATGGCTTCCTTATTGCAGTTCAGCTGAGATTTCACCATTGATATGAAATTCTAATAAAAATGTTACGGAATTGATACGGCATTCGTCTCAATACATGTAGCATATATTGTTTGGGCATGTAATATAAGAATAACCAATATTTCACTACTAAATAATCTATTAAAACTGATCTAAAAAATGATCTCATGATATGTCTAAAAAAGATTGTTTGCTTTTTCTCATGAGGTTTTAAAAAACCGACCTCATGAGGTCAATTTTGTTTCTCTGATAAAAAATCTTTTTTTTTATCTCAAGAGGTCGGTTTTTAGAAATACACGTAAAAAAATTGCCACATGTGATAAAATACATTTCATTTGTACTCTTCTAATTTATTTTTCAAGAAAAATGGACCTCATGAGGCTGATATTTTTAAAATATTCTTTTGTTTCAATTAACAATAGCGACCTCATGGAGTCACAATTGCAATTTTATTTTTTTAATTATTCTAAAAGATCAATTATGAGGTGATCACAATTGTAACTTTTTATTATTTAATCATTTTAAAAGATCAAAATTATCAGTCTCAATAAGCAGTGAATTAAGAATTGACGGCTTCCTCCACAGTATCCTCTTCTCTATCAAAATTAATTCACCAATAATATTTAATTTAAATCTAAAATAATTTACATGAATATCACTCTTAATCAATTTTCTGCTCCAAAGATTCAAAATGCTAATCATAAACTAAGGAGTTTTTTCTACGTATTTTAAATTAAATACTCCATCTGTTCCTAATTATTTGTCCACTTTTGAATTGACACACCTATTAAGAAAACAATTATTGACATAATGAGTTTACCATTTTACCCCTATTAATTATGAAGTGAATGAATTAAAAACTAAAGATTTCAAAAAATTCTATCTTTTCCAAAGCAATTAATTGAGGGTATAATAGGTTAAATAAATTTGTTCTTTCTTGATTTGTCAAAATTGACAAGTACTTAGGGACAATTAAAAAAGAAAAAGTGGACAAATAATTAGAGACCGAGGGAGTATATAAAATGTGCTAAATAGGGAAAGATTTGATAACATAAGCTAATTTTAGTCTTAATCTTGGCCAAATAATATAGAGTGTTAGGTGATAAATGGGGGTTCAATTGAATGTAAGTTGACCATAATGGGTCTTGTTAATAAATGGATGGTTAATGGTTTCTTGACCCCCCAAAATTTAGTTTGACTGAATGGGGTTAGGCTTAATAAGTTAAAATACGGGTCATAACTCATCTTGCTTAACTCTTAAGTTTGAATTGCTTTAATTTTTTTTTAAACATTCTTTAGTACCTTATAAATATTCTTTGTACCTTATCAAACAAAAATAAATTAATAAAAATTTTCATAAATCAATTTTAGCTAGATATCAAACCAGTGTAAAAAAAAACCTAGCACACACCATAAGTTTGAGGATCATGTGCATATTTCTTTGTTTAGGCTTTTGAATAAGGAGAATCTTTACTCATTAATCCTTTCCTATAAATATGCTTGACTAATACCTCTTTTTTACTCAACAAGCATTATATATATGTTTGTCATCAAAAAAATATTAACAAAATATGGATTCATCAAGCAAATTGTTCCAAATTTCTAGAGAGTTATCAGTAGGACATTCTTCAAGAATTTATTATTATAGAAGAGGTGAAGGGGTTCCATTTGAATGGGAAAAGCAGCCTGGAACCCCTAAAATTAATCCAACAAAAGAAGATGTCAATATACCACTTAGCCCTCCACCTTCATTTCAAAGCATAGGGCTTACTAAACCTTGTTTTGATGATCATGATGAATCAAAACATTTCAAGGTTTGGCTTACAAACAAGATGAAGAAATTGCATTCATCAAAAAGATTTGTGAAATCGCGTGATGGAGACGATTCGTTTAACAACTCTAGTTCATCTTCATTTGATTCAAACACTAAAGAGAGGGATAAATTTTCAAGGGATTTAATGGAGGATTCATATTGTTGCAATCTCACATCAATGGTTGGTAAATGTTTTAAATTTTATTTTCATTTGTCATTTTGTGTTAGTTACTCTGTTTCAAATTGTTTGTCTTGTTTTAATTTGACATGAAGTTTAAGAAGGAAAAAAAATTGTTTTGATTTGACATAGAGTTTTTTTTTTTATAAAAAAGTAAGTCTTGAGATCTAAAACTAAATGTATGTAAAATATACTAAAATATTTTTGTGGTGAAAACATATTATGTGAAAAATAAAATTAAAGAGTTAATACAAAAAAGAAAAAGCTAGTTTTTTCAAAACAATTTGAAAGGGAGAGAATAAAAGATTTAGCATTTATTTTAATTTTTTTTATTATTATTATTTCCTTCCAAGTATGTTATAAATATCATGTCCTTTAAATAATAATATCAGGTAATCTTCCATAAAAGGTGGGGTTATTAGTAACTTAACAAATATGGAAAATTACATGCAACAAAAGGTTGATATAGTTATAGTGATAGTATAAATATATATACTTTAATATAAGTAAGTAAATCTTTTCCTGAATAAAAGACTTAATGTCATAATAATTAGAGTGAAGTGGTTAAAACATATCTAAATTAATTTGCTGTGAATTATTATTTTTATTTTTGAATTATGTCTAATACTAATAGAACGCCCATATGTTTGAATAAGTGAATTTGACAGCGCCCCAGCTAACAAGCTTTAATGATATGTATGTAGGCTGATTAAAATAATCTTATAATCCTATATACACACACACTAATTATGACATCTAAAACAAAAAGAAGAAGAAGAAGAAAGAATAAGTGGTTAAATCAATTACAACACCTTGAGCGAAAAATCCACATCTTTTACGGTCTGAGATTCTGAATAATTATTGAAATACTTGTTATGTGAGGTGACATTTTAGAAAAGTTTTTAACTTCATTTAGACAAATGTATTAAGTATGTTTTAGTTCTAGACATAATTTGGAGACTAAAATAATATGTGTATCAAATTCAAAAACGTTTTCACCACTCCAGGTAAAAAAACTTATGCAAATATTTATTCACAAAAATAGTGAATGTGCGGATCTTGAATCATTAGCGTTCAGCGGAGACTCTTAGGAGTGAAGTTATATGATATTAAATTATAAATTAATAATCTACTGTAACATATTCATTTATAATATGTTATTTATTCTAAGTTATCAATTTTTATATCCAATTATTTGTAATTATCTTTTAAATGATATGATTTATTTAAATATTTTTACACATATGGTACTTTAAACTCTATTTGTAAATTAGCATTAACGTTTGGACTATAATTGCATTTGTTTTGCTTTTACTTTTGTGTGTTCTTTAAGAAATCGATTTGGTTTTGAGAGAACAGATTCTGAAAGATTCTTTTAACTTCCATCTTGAGAAAACAAATTCTCTCAAGAAGGAAGCCAAAAAAGAAACAAAAATCCTAGTAATCTTCTCAATTTTCTCAAGAAATTGACATAAATAGTCGTTCATCAAAATGATTACCAGCAAATGTATATTTTTTATATATTACCACTATTTTTGTCCCATATTATATCACTCACTTTCCTTTTTAGTCAGTTTCAAAAAATTATACATTTTTATATTAAGTAATAGTACTTTAACTTTTAAATGCTCATTTTATCCTTGATGGAATGATTTATAGTCACAGAGCTAGCTAATTGTGTTGCAGGATAAAGAGGAGGGCTATAGAAAAATGCACAAGAGAGAAGAAATTGGTGAAAGATTATTTGTTGAGAGAATAGTTTCAAGAATGTCATCAGTAGACCAATCTTACTATAGAAGCACAGTAGAAGGAATTCCCTTCAAATGGGAAATGCAGCCAGGTACTCCTATGGCTATACATACACCACAAAATGAAGTCATTCCACCACCTAGCCCTCCACCAATGATACAAAGTTTGGCATTCCCTAAACCTTGTATTCCTCATCATGATCAAGACAATACACCTTCTAATACTTGGGAGAAAATCAAGAGAATGATCAAAAGTAGTCATCAAGCAGGGCGTCGCAATTCAGTTATATCTTCTTCTATCTTGAAAAAGAAAGTGCTACCCTTGTCTAAACTTACAAAAGACGTCTTGGGGAGGAAATTTTGTTTCAATCCAGGGAAGATTAAAGCAAATCTTGCGTCTTCAAGACGCATATGAATTACATTATAGACTTCTTACTAAAGAGTTATGCGCACATATATAAGCCAACAATAGTATGAATGGGACAAAAACGTGATGAAAAGTTATATGTTTAACATATACAAGTTGAATTTGTGTATTGTTTCATCGATGTTTATTATATACTTCATGTGCAATTTGGCGATCGTGATCGTGTTAATTTGATGCATGGTACTACTACATGGTGGAGAAATGGTATTAATAATACTTGATAATTTAGAAGAAAAATCATAACGAATTTTATGCCTTCTACTCCTGATGAGACAAGCAGAAAATTAACATGAGTGATAATCTACTAGGTAGATGCGTGTCAGCTTAAATAATACTTCCTCTATTACCATTTATGTGACAATCTCATACATAATGAAATCTAAAAAATAAATTATGACTTTTTGAAACTCATCATTTTAAACACATCTTAATATGCATTTTAATATCAAAATAACAATATTAATTTGCATGAGTAAGTGATGAAAGTGAGCATTATTTTTTGGTACAACTCATGTAACCACTATTACATGTTTCACATTAATTACCCCACTGCATATTCTACAATATTAATTATTATCCCACTAATTTGTTATTTGATCTATGAAAAAAATTTACACCTAAAAAAAGTAGTGTTTCTTCCTTTGTGTTTGAGCTGAGAAATATTATATGAAGTATGATAATTATGAGAAGTGGGTGAAACATATTGTAGTAGTGTGTAGTGAGGTTAGAGTAATGAAAAAAGAATTGAGAGAAAGGAAAATATTTCACGTTTCCAACTTATTGACTATACCAAAGAGATTAATTTTATGTTGAAGGAATTAAGGTGTTTTTTTTTTTGGAGCTTTGGATTCTTCTACTAGTCTAGAGCAATTTGAATTGTACGATGTTTTTGGTTATTGTATCTTGGAGGGAACAAGTCAAGAGTTATACTACTGGATTGGTGAATATTATACCACAGTCAACTTGAATCTCCTTAAAAAGAGCAAAACATTTGCGTCCCAGCCTGAATATTTTTTGGTAATAAACTGTGAATATATTACATCGACAATAAAAAAAAATAACAATCTAAAGAGTACACTAGTTCCAATCCCCTTTCAGAAAGGTTATTGGCCTGCTAGTGCCTCAGTAATCAACTATACATTTCTGTCTCCCTATCCTTCTAGTTGTTGTATTAAGTTCCTACAACTATAAGCTCTTCTTGTACTCATTTGGCTTCCTATTCTTTCCTTCACCTCCTTTTGTATTTGATTTCTCACTTCTTCGGCTTGGATTATTTTAGGTTCCTAAATATTTTCCAATTTCTAGCTTTCCAAGTATGATATATCAATGCTCCAAAAATTGCAGTTGCCACCTCCTTGTGGAACTTTTTCCAGTTCCTCCTTTTTAGCCATTGCAAAGTTTGTTTGACTGTTTGACGACGAAAAGAAATCCCCGACCATCTGGCCAAAGCTTGTTGTACTCCTCTAGTCCATGTACAGTCAACAAATAATTGTTGTTGCGTCTCCACCTGGTCGTCCACACATAGGTTACACTTCTCATCTCCAGCTAGCATGTTTAGCCTTTGGTTGAGCATCCCCATAAGAAATCTCTGCAGATCTTATCCACCTTCTTGAGTATACATTGTGGCAGCATAAACACTGCTCCCCAATAATTATAAATGGAAAATAAGACTGCTATAATGATATGAAGTCTTCCTGCATACGACAATGATTTAGAATAACCCGTGGTTACTCTGTTGATTATCTTCTCCACTAGTACATGACAATCAACTTTGCTCCACTCTTTTGATGAAAGTGGCAAACCCAAATATGTGATTGGTAACGTTCCGGTCAAGAACCCTGTCAGCCTAATAAACTTCTTCTTTGTTTCATCATTTACCCCAGCACAATAGAAGCTAGATTTATCATTATTCGCCACCAATCCAGTAGCATCAGGAAAATGGTTTAATACCTCCATCACTCTTGTGATAGATTTCTCATGTGCTTTGCAGAATATCATCAAATCATCTGCAAAGATCAGATGTGTGAGTTTAGTTCTTTTGCACATTGGATGAAACCTGAAATCTAATAGCTCACTCATTTTATTCAAACTTCTTGTAAGATACTCGATCACCAGTACAAAAAGTAAGGGGGACATTGGGTCACCTTGTCTTAATCCTATTTTCCCCTCAAAGTATCTAAACCCACCCCCGTTAACCTTCACAGTATATCTTGTTGTTGTGACACAAGTCATCACTAAGCTAGTGAAAGAGTTTGGAAACGCATATCCTTACAGTGTTTCCTGAATAAAGTCCCAACTTACCATGTCATACGCCTTCCTGAGATCAATCTTCATTAGGCATCTAGGTGTAGTTTTTCTATTATAATTCCTAAGAATATCATGACATATCAATATATTGTGGACTAGTGATCGACCCTCCACAAATGTTGCTTGATTTTCTGCTACAATGCATGCTACAACCCTTCTTAGTCTAAGGCAAATAAACTTCGAAATGCACTTATAAAGCACATTACAACATGAAATAGGCCTAAATTGCCCTGCATTCTGGGGTACATTTATCTTAGGGATCAGTGAAATCATTGTTGCATTAAGTTGTTTGAGTAATTTGCCTATATGGAAAAACTCCAAAATTACCTTTGTCACATCCTTGCCGATTATTCCCCAAGCAGCTTGGAAAAAATCATAGCCGTCTGGTCCAGGACTCTTGTTCTTATCTATGCTGAACATGGCCTACTTCACCTTCTTTTCAGTGTAAGGTCTAATCAACTCAAATTGTTCTGTGATGTCTAGGATTCTTCCAGCCTTAAGAAAACTATTGAAAGCTCGAACTCTGTGATTTGCTTGTTTCCTAAAAGTTCAGTATAGTAATCGACCATAATTGTTGCAATAGCTTCCTATTCATGTTGGATCACTCCATGTTTATCCTCCAGCTGAGTTATTGCATTTTGTAGTCTTCTATGGTTAATGACCGAGAAGAAGTACTTTGTGTTATCATCCCCCAATTTAATCCAAGTAGCTTTACTTCTTTGTTGTAGAAATATCTCTGCCATGTAGGATGAGCATATGAACTTTGCATACTTCTCTTTCTCCTCCTGTTGTAGAGAACTATAAGTTTGTTGGCATTGGAGGGCTCGTTGGACTTGTAGCAGGACCAATCTGAATATTTATTTATTCATTTTTGTTTATTTTATTTTCAATTATAATTTAAGATATATACACCTACACATCTTAATTTTTGAGTGGTCATAAAAACTTTTTAAACTTGTTAACTTATATCATGACTCAAATTTGACAGTTATGCCGTGATAGGACACCGTTACTACCTCTACTAGACGAACTCTCTAAACTTAGTCTGATCCATGACAGGACACCGTTACTACTTTTTGTATGAGACTCTACAAGACGTGCTTAATTTTTATTGAGACTTTACAAGAAGAGCACAATTTCCGTCAGAGTTCTTGGGGTTATTCTACCCTAAAACCTAGATTATACCTATATAAAAGGTAATATATTTCTTCAAGAGGCATCTAAAATATCACATAACTCTTGGATATTCATAAAGATATCGAAATCTCGAATATCTCATAAACTCTAGTCAGTCCAAGTCCACAGCCTCAGGCCCAAAGCAATTCAAACAATAAAGCGATAAACTCAAAGATGACTAAAAAGGGCACACAAAACACCAAAGTAACCATCAGGCATAAAATTTAAGTTTCACGCCACTTAAGAGCATTCTAAAGATCTAAGACGACTATCAAGCTAAGAATCAACCTAAGCTAAGGCTTATCGACTAAATTACTAAGTTAAATAACCCAATATGGCCAAAATATCAACAAAGGATCATGCACGCCTATGAACTAATCATAAAACCTTCATAACAATCAAACTACTCAAATATACATATAATCATGCTAAGTCAAGTCTAAAAGAGGAAAACCATAATCTACCTCAAGGCAAAACTCGCATTTGAACTTTTACTCTGGAGCTTTTCCCTTTCGAAGGGCCTCCTAATGATGTCATGCTATCAAAAACATGACAAAAACGCCAAAACAAGCACATCAATACCCATATCAATATAGAAATTCAAAAATGGAAAAGCAACCCAAAAATGCAATCGTGGGACCCATGCACGGAGTCATAAAATTGACTCTATCACGAGGCTCCAAACAACTCAAGAAACTTGTGCCCAAAAAATGAGCACAATCGAGCCACAATCAAGCCAAAACAACCCCACTAATATTTTGCTTAAAAGAATAAAAAATGGAGAATTTAAGAGAGAATTGACGGAAACTACCAAGGTTGACAGAACATTAATTGATCCAAAAGTGTGCCCCCGCATTTCCCTGACACAATCCAATAAGAATCAACGAAAAACTCCAAGGAAATCTCCCAAAATGGCAAAAAGACCGAATCTTTTTAAGAACAAGTGCATGCTAAAACGGGATGAACTTTTAAATAACTGTCAGGAAATTTTACTCTCCGCAAATGTGGAGCCTTTTCTATGAGCGCGGAGGTTAGTTGTAACACCTCGAAAGTATAAATATTGATTTGGAAAGGAAAAGTCACAAAAAGCTGCTAGTACAAGCTTGTACGAGGTCAAGTACAAACCATACTTAGTTCTACGATCCGTGGATGAAAGTCGTGGATGATGTCCTGAAAGTTGAGAAAATGTCAAGTCTTAGATGAGTTTTTACAGACCAACAAGACGATTCGTACAAAGTCATACGGGTCGTGGATGAGACTCGTAGGGTGAGTTCCATACTTGGTGAAATTTAGTGCCTTAGGATCCACGAGTGTGTTGAATGACTTGTACATGGAACTAAATGTCGTGATTGGCCGATCGTGGTTGAACTTCTGAAAAGTTGAGTCTCCAGTATTGTGTCTATGTCTAGAAAATACATCATGTAAAGGAACTACGAGCCATACATGGAGAGTCGTGTTTGAGATTCTAGACTTAGGAGGATTTCTGGGACAGAGTTCTCCGAGAG